GACGGACCTGCAGGGGCGGCTCGAGGGCCTTACTAGCTTGCAGGGGTGGCGCACTGGCCTAGGGCAGCAGGAGGCAGTGCGAGGGCTGCAGGACGGCGCGCAGGCAGAACGAAGGGCGGGGCGCGCGAGGGCGCACTAGCAGAAGAAGACGCACGAGGGCGCACGAGCAGAGAAAGGCGCACGAGGGCGCACGCAAGGTAGGGCGCACGAGGGCGCTTCTAGTGGAATAGTGGGCCCGTAGTAGTAAGCGGTCCTAGGTGGCAACCTAGGCTCGTGATACCATGTCAGAATGAACAAGAGTGGTTGAACTAGGAAAGAGTTGGGTACAAGTAGGAAACCCTAAACTTACTGTACCCTATAGTAACTACCCCACTACAGCCTAAACAAACTGTAGTAGATATAGCATTTGACAGTCTACTTTCAGGGTTTACCATCCTCTGTTTAGGCATTTTGTCTACCTCAACTTCGTTGCTTATTATAGTTTACTCGCGTTTCTTTTACCGTTCCTTCTAGATTTGTTACATCTCTCTCTTTTTCTCTCTCTTTCTCGATTCTCCCTCCCTTGTCCGTCTCTCTTCTTCATTTCCCTTTCTTCATCCTCTCGCTAGCGTCGTTCTGCTGGTGCATGTCGCGTTGGCGTATTTTTGTTGTGCTCATCTATTTCCTTCCGTCTGCCCTTCCGTTTTCCTAGTATCCTCATTAGTTCTTGTCTCTAGTTTTTCTTCTTTCCCTAGTCTTACATTAATCTTCATTTATGTCCCCTCTAATCGTACGCGTAAGAATACGGATGCTACCTTTGATAGGTGTGTGTTCTTCTATTCGTGTATCTTTGTCACTTGTCTTTTCTTCCTCTCCACTGTCTTGTCTAGTTTATACATGTTACCATTCTTTCATGCCTCTGCCTTACTCTTCCTTAATCCCTATGTCTTGCTCCTTTCATCTGTTATCTACTACTACGTTTGCACTAGTTTCGTTATTTGTTGTTTCTTTAGGTTTCGGTGCTTTTTTATATTTTTGTTTACTTATTGTTTTGTGTTGTTTACTTCGTGGGTCATTCACTTCTGCATTCTTTTATTCGTTTTGTTCAGAAATGTTGTGTCTTTAGCTTATTCTTTTATCATTCTTTATTATAGCATGAATATGTTTTTTTCCGCTCTTCACTCTATTCCCTTCCTTGAAGTCATGTTGTTATGTAAGCCGTTCCTTCGCTTCTCCTCTCTCATTTTATTCTTATTCTGAGGTTCTTTTTTCATAGTGCTAAACTTCAGTGTTCATTTATTCATTTTGTTCGAAATTGGTGTTTCTTCTTGAGATTTCCTGTTGTTGTTTTGCTTCTTGTTGACGTCTACCTTGTTATACCCTTGTTTCGAATCCACTCTGCATATTTTTTTTGCTTCTTACTTTCGGTTTACATTATTTCACCGTATTCTCTCTCCAGCCTTTCTACTCGTTCCTTTTTTCGTTTTGTGATGCTTGATTTCTTTCAACACCAGGTTGCACGTACGCCAGACACAATGCCTGGCTCAATCGGGAAATGTTGGATTGTGGGATTAGATTTAGACTGCTGTTAATAAATTTTGCATCTTCTGTTTTCATTTCTTCCTCCTTGTCCCTTTTGTTTGTGTATTTTATATGCGGTTTTTTCATCGTTAGTTTGTCTTCGTGTGTACGTATGTGACATTGTGTACGTGCGTGCGTATCTGTTTATATTTATCATAGCATCTGTCAAACTTATATGTTGCTTATTGTGTAGGCTGTAGTGGGGTACAACCCAATTAGGGTTAGAACTTGTACCCATCCTGTTGTTAGTCAATTCATTCTCGTTCATAGTTCTGACATGGTTTCAGAGCAGGTCCTAGCCTAGGACCGTTTCCTTAGGGCCCACCGAGTAGCGCTACCCCACCCGTCACGCCACCGTGATCGCGCCGCCCTGCCCTGCCTGTCAGAATTAGGAGTGAAGAATGACTAGAAACACAGCAGTACCAGGTTTGTATATGAAAACCTAATTTGGGCTGTACCCCTTAAGGAGTGCCCCACTACAGCCTAGAGCATAGTTCTGATACACCCCCATAGGCAAAGTGGGGGACAAGCAAGAGAACGAAGCAAGGTCAAGTCCAGGGTGGATCACAACGTCACCACATATTCTGGGCACAAGCAAATGGCCACAAGGCCAGTTCACATGCAGAATTATATATAAAGGAGAACAAGCAGAACAGTGATCACAACCTAGCAAGTGCAAGCATGCATGTATAAATATATAGATCACAGTACAAGCAAAGTCAGGAAGTGAGCAAGTGAGGCCAAGTAGGCACAAGGGCTAGAACAGTACAGAACCGCTGATGATCACAAGGCTGAAGTGCCTTGGTGAAGATATCAGCAGTGTTGGCATGAGAGGCCACGTAAACGAGACAAAGCTGACCACGCTGCTGCAACCCTCGAGCAAGGAAGTAACGCAGAGCGATGTGCTTCGTTCTGTGCTCCAGTCTGTGCTCCTGACACAAGGCAATCATGGCCTTGTTGTCGACGTACAGAACTGGAGGAGAACGAGGCGCCTCTCCTAGGTCGGTCAGCAGGTAGGTGAGCCAGCATAACTCCTGTGCAGCCATGGCCCCTGCGTAGATCTCAGCCTCACAACTGGAGCTGAGAACAGAAAACGAGCGGGTAGACCGCCACGAAACAGAACCGGAACCAAGGCTGAAGGTGTAACCCTGTGATGACCGCTGCGTAGCCAAGTCCCAAGAAGCGTCTCCGTGACCAGTGAGGACAACTGGACCCCGTCCTCCAAGCACGAGCCCCATGCCCGACGTACTGCACAAGTAGCACATCACCCTCTTAGCGGCCTTCCAGTGCTCTGGTCGGTGTCTCTCGGGTGCAATGTAGCGTGCCAGGATGCTAAGAGGGTAATCAAGGTCAGGTCGAGTGTAGGTCATCAGGTACAAAAGGCAGCCCACAAGCTCTGGGTACGGACCACTCGGCTCCACGGACTCATCCGAAGGCAGAGCTGAGAGAGAGTGACCCGTAAGCAAAGGAGTGGGCTGTGGCGAGGAGTATTGGAAGTTGAAGCGCTGAAGGACCTGCTGCACCATGTGTGACTGAGTCAAGGTAATGGTGCGCCGTGCTCTGTCCCAGGTGATCTGCAAGCCAAGATAGCTGCGCAGCTCACCCAGGTCTGTGCACGTGTGTCTCTTCTGCAGCTCCGACTTCACTAGAGTCAGTGCCTCAGTGTCAGCAGTGGCAAAAACCAAGTCGTCGACGTACACGACGATGTAGAACAGCGGCAGCGAAGTGTCGGTGCGTAGAAACAGCGACGGGTCAGCAGTAGAGGGAGCAAAGCTAAGAGCCGCAAGGGTCGTCCTCAGTGTGTCGTGCCACTCACGAGGCGCCTGTTGGTGCAACCCTACGGTTTGCACTCGGCTTGTTGTCCGTGTGCGTGAATGTGTGTGTGTATGGAATGGTATGAGGGCATGGGATAATATATATTTCATGCTTATAATTGTGTGTGAATGTTGAGTCATGATGTCGAGTGTGTGTGTCGAGTCAATAGCGAGTTATCGCAAGACGTGTGTTACGCGGTCGTTTCTGTCTCGCGCGCGGTTTCTATTTTGTCGTGCGCGGTTTCTATTTTGTCCTGTGTCGAACGTTCGGCGTGTCGCAGGTGTGTGCAGCAGACCCATCAAGAACTCAAGGATGAGTTTGTGATGAAGAGCCCGAGCCTTGGTGTCAAGCCTCAAGTGATTTCGAAGCTCGCCAAAAAAGGGTACACCTCAAGATATTGAAGATAGTTACATTACTTTGTGTAGTGTAACATTTCACTTGGTGTAGGCCCTAGTGAAGGGTAGTTTCGAGACCCTTCGTGGTTGGGGACAGTGTGGCACTGTTCCACATCACTGTACCTCGGCTCTTGGGGTTTGTAGGAGCTGGGAGTCATTCCCAACTCGTAACTCTTCCTATCTTGTGTTCTAAGACTATAGTGGCTGCCATAGTACTGTTCGTTCAAACCGACGCTGTCTCGTCAATTCTTTATCAAATCGTGCAATCTAAATTGCTAATTGTAGACGACGTGAAGACGCTCCAGATCCAATTTGAATCAAGTCATTTGCAGCTGTGAGCAGAACGCTATCAACGTTTGAAGCCGCTGTGCAGAAATCCGACTGTGCTCTCTATCTTTCGTTTTAGGCACATTCAAGCCTATTGTGACTATAACAAGTGGTATCAGAGCCCCTTGGAGCAGTTTCGACAATGTCTGGACCTGCGGAAAGGGGTGGCAGAGGTGCTGGTGGCAGTGGAGAAGCTCAAGCTCAAGGCCAACCCCGTGATTCAGCCATGGCGCCCATGCAACCAAGCCTTGGCCCACCTAGGGATGAGCCTAGGGTGTTTGGGCTTGACAAGTTCAACGGTGACAACTTTGCTGAATGGTCCTTCAAGATGGAGAACATCTTTGACCACTATGACCTGCTGGAGGTGATGGAAGGAACGGAGAAGCGCCCCGAGATCTCCTAGGGATAAACCCTCCGCCTCCAGCGAGATCTCTTCGGAGGTTTCGGGGGTCTCAGCTACATAATCCCCCCCATCCTCCCCATTCCCAGTGTCCCTCTCCTCCTGATTCGTCGGTGGCGCCTCCTGCTCCGGGCGGTCGTGGCGTTCCCGCCACGTTCCTGATCTCACAAGCACCTCCCTTCCGCCGACGATTGCGCCCCCGCCCCTTCTTCCCCCTCTTGCCCCGCGTCCTCCGCCTCGGGCCCTACGGATCGGCGCTCCTTCCCCGGTCCGGCTCTCGTCGTTCCGCCCCCCTCGTCCGGCCTGTGGCGCTCTTCCCGCCGGGATCCACGGTGAGTGTGCCAGTCCCAACCTCGGACGGCCTCATGTAATTCCTTGTGAGCGGGTGGAACTCCGTGTTTCCCGCTGTGGGCCTTGTGTAGTCGCTGCCTCCGGGGCGTTGTGTCCTGCCACGTGCCTGACGTCAGCTGCCTCATCGCCTTCCCCTCTTTCTTGTCCCACAGATGGAGGTCGACGCTCTGGCGATAGTGGCGTCTGCTCTTGCTCACTCCAGCCCCGGAGGGGTCCCGGGGCGCCAGGCCCCAGCCTTGCTCCGGGCCGCCTCGGCGCTGGCTGGGCGCGGAGCTTCGTCCCGCCCTTCCCATGAGCGGCGCGTCCAGGGGCGCCGGTCCCGTGACCCCGTCTTCCGCTCGCCGCCTGGTCGCGCTCCTGCGTGTCTGCGCCCTCGGCAGCAGCAGATGTTCCGGCGCTCACAGCAGCCGCCGATACCTCCCCCTCGATCGGGGCATCGGCCAGGTTCCCTGCCGCGGTCGCAGCAGTCATCGCCGCAGCCAACAACGCCGCCGGTACCAGCGCTGGTGACGCAGAAAACGCCACCGCCTCATACCGTTCCCGATCCACCGCCAGGCCCAGTTCCAGCGTCTGCTGTTGTGCCCCCTGGTGGTTGGCAGGAGGTGAAGTTGAGCCGCCGCCAAAAGCGGCGGCAGTTCCGCCAGCCCGCCCCAATGCCGTCACAGCCTCCGCCGGCACCTCCGCGGCAGCAGCCACTTCCCCCGCCACCTCCACCGACACAGTCGCCGCCGCGACGCTTCCCCTTTCCACCGCAGCCGCCGCCGCCTCGCCCCTCGGCGTCTCTTGTACCTCAGCCCTCCTCATCGGCTGTTCCGTCACCGGCGCCGTTGGAATGCCCGCAGCTGTTTCTTGGCGGGAGGAACATCCCAATCCCGTGGGAGGTGATGGGGTATCTGAGGGCGGAGGAGGCTCCAGGTGTGCAGTCACCCCCGCCATCAAATCTGCCATCGTCTCCTCCTCCGCCTGTCGGTCCTGATCCCTCTCCCCCACTGTCTCCGGAGGGGATTTCGCCGCCGGGCTCCCCGCCGCGGAGCAGGGCCCACCGCGTCGCTCAGTGCGTTGGGCACGTGGGGACATGCCTGACGTTGTTGGCAATGGTCCTCGACCAGCTGCACCTTTTCCAGTTGCGGCAGATACGTCCTGGGGAGGTGCCTCCGGTATTGTCGGCAACGGAGCAGGAGGAGGGTGTGGCAGCGGCGATGCAGATGCTGGAGATGCTGCCTTTGATCGGGCTGGTCCCGGACTCCCCTGGCGCCGCCTTGGGACCTGGTCCCGCTGCGCTGAGGCGGCTTGTTCTTGCCGCCCTGAAGGCCCCACGGGACGTGGTACCAGCTGCCGCATCCGTGCTACGCTGGATGGACGGCCGGTTGAGCTGGATCCTGGCCGAGTAGCGGCCCTCTTCCCTGTGCCTGCCTGCTTGGTTGCAGGCCTGGCCTTGGGCTTCCCCATGGCGGTATCTCCTCGCCTGGGGGTGATGTTGTTGTTGTTGTGTGTTGTCACTGGTGCATGCTGTAGCCTTCCATAATTATAGACTTGTCCCCCCCTGGTCCTTGTCACACCTCACGCGCGGCCGAAGGCCGCGCTGGCGAGCGACGGCCGCCGAAGGCGGCCGGCGCGAGCCGCCGGATTTGGAGAGTAATCCTAACTCACCAGTGAATAATGAGCTCACTAGCCTAGATCCAGGGCCTTTATACTAAGGAAACAGGCCTAGAAATGGCTAAGGACTAGATCTTGGAGAAGAGAGGCCTAGAAATGGCTAAGGACTAAGACTATGCCATCTCTCTCTCTCTCTCGCTCTCTCTCGAACGAGCCGCCGGATTTGGAGAGTGATCCTAACTCACCAGCCACCGTCCACCGCTGCCGAAACTGGTGCAGGAACTTAGCGGCGTAGAAAGATTTAGAGTCGGCGTTGAAGTGGCGCCGAGCCGCAGTGTCCGCTAGAAGCTTGAGGAAGACCGGGACTTTCGCGCATGGGCAGCCGTATGTGTCTACCGCCAGGGGGAAAAAGCCGACCGTCTCCGGCCGGTTGGCGTAATGTTTGATCTTCTTATCCGCTTGTTCACGGGCTGCCCATCCCCTCCGCTTTTGTGCCTCCGGATCCCTGGTGCTGATGGGATCTGTGATGGTGACATCACAGACATAAACCGCCCCACTACTCCTATCCGTCATGGTGAAGTCGGCGGTTTGTTCCTCAACGGGGAAGTGAGCGGCGGACTCACTATGAACTATGAAGCCCGCGTGTTGCGCCATGCTAATGCATGCATCCCGCAGCTCATTATGGGTGTTAATGCGGTGCTTTCCTCTACCGCAGTGGAGCAGGTGGTTCGGGAGGCGGGGATCCGTGATAGCTGTCTGGTCCGCGCAGTCGCGGTTCTTAGGGGTTGAGAAGGGGAGTCCTAGCCGGAAGCGCACGGCGTTGGCGAAGTGTACGGGGCCTATCCGTAGCGTGGCTTCGATAGAGATCGCAGTTAGCCAATCACCGGTGGCGTACCCGGTCAGCGAGAACATACGTTGCCTTTGGCCTAATAGCGGGTTCAGCCGCATGCGCCTCGTTGCCTGGACTTGCGCGGCATATCTACTCCCGTGCACCTTCAGCCCGAGCACATGTTGGAGCCGAATATCCGATCGCTCCAGCCTCTCCTTCTCCAGGATCTCGCGTGCATCTAACGGTCGGGACGCTTCGCACTCCGTGAGCCAAGAATGCAGAGGTGTGCCGCCGTCCCGCGGCAGGAGAATGTGGTTCTGGGCTACCGTTAAAGCAATCGCTTGATCTAGCGCGAGGGAGGACAGGAAGAGCGCCGCTTGGGTGAAACTTGCTGTGAAACCGTAAACTCCTTCTATACGCGGGTCCGTAAGGCCGATGCCGCCTAACGATGTGGGAAGTGACGCTTGTTCCCAGATGCGAGCTTGCTCGGTCCGGCAAGTTGGTGAGCGGATGTCGCATGAGGTGAGTAGGGTGGTAAGTAGGTCCCGACCCCACTGGCTCCAGGTGTCGCGGGGTAGGAGGTGGAGAGGAGTCGTTTTAATGAGATAGGCTACCTGTCTGGAGATGCATCGCGTGAGTAGGAGTGCGGCCACCTGGGGGTCGGCACGTTCTATGAGTGGTAGAGGTTTCGTCATCTCGTCGAGCTGTTCCGACAGAAACGAGGTTGCTCCGGCGTCAGTCCCCAGGTAACTACCCAGAAGTCTCACTCCGTCCTTGGAGTATGGCACGCCGGGCGGGAGTTGTGGCTGTGTGCCCGTGGTTGAACTCCAGGCCGAGCATTTCCGGGGATTATGTGCCAGGCCCAGCTGGGCAAGTTTGGCCGTGAAATGTGTGAAAGCAGCTACAGTCCGAGACGAGTCACCCAAGAATGTGACGTCATCTGCATACGCCAAACAGAGCACATCGCGCACCAGTCAAAGAAAGGCAAAGCAAGCTCAGGGTGGATCACAACGTCACCACACACTCTGAGCACAAGCAAAGGGCCACAAGGCCAGTTCACATGCAGAGGCATATATCCAACACAAACAGCACAGTGATTTCTACTTAGCAAAGTAAGCATGCAGGTATATATATACATCACAGTTCAAGCAAAGCCTACAGCAAGTGAGGAAAGGTGGGCACAAGCCCTAGCATAGTGCAGAAACGCTGATGATCACCAGACTGAAGTGCCTTGGTGAATATATCAGCAGTGTTGGCCCGAGTGGCCACGTAACGCAGACGAAGCTGACCACGCTGCTGCAACTCTCGAGCCAGGAAGTAACGCAGAGCGATGTGCTTCGTTCTGTGCTCCAGTCTGTGCTCCTCACACAAGGCAATGGTACCCTTGTTGTCGACGTACAGTACTGGAGGAGAACGAGGCCGCTCTCCCAAGTCAGTCAGCAGGTAGGTGAGCCAACGTAACTCCTGTGCAGCCATGGCTGTGGCGTAGATCTCAGCCTCACAGCTGGAGCTAAGAATTGAAGACGAGCGAGTAGAACGCCAAGAAACTGAACCAGAGCCAAGGCTGAAGGTATAACCCTGTGACGACCGCTGAGTAGCCGGGTTGTCAACCCAAGAAGCGTCTGAGTGCTCAGTGAGAACAACTGAGCTCCTCCCTCCAAGCATGAGCCCCATGCCTGATGTACTGCACAAGTAGCGCAGTACCCTCTTAGCAGCATCCATGTGCACCTTTCGGTGTCGACCAGGAGCTACGTAGCGAGCCAGAAGGCCAAGAGGGTACGCGAGGTCAGGACGAGTGCAAGTCATCAGGTACATGAGGCAGCCAACTAGCTCTGGGTAAGGACCACTCGGCTCTACGGACTCGTCCGAAGGTGGAGCTGAGAGCGAGTGACCTGTAGCCAGAGGAGTGGCCTGTGCCGAGGACCAGGTGAAGCCGAAGCGCTGAAGGACCTGCTACACCATGTGCGACTGAGTCAGTGTGATGGTGCGGCGTGCTCTGTCCCGGGTGATCTGCAAGCCAAGGTAGCTGCGCAGTTCACCCAGGTCTGTGCACGTGTGTCTCTTCTGCAGCCCCGACTTCACCAGGGCGAGAGCCTCAGTGTCAGCAGTGGCAAAGACCAAGTCGTCGACGTACACGAGGATGTAGAACGGCGGCAGCGAAGTGTCGGTGCGCAGAAATAGTGACGGGTCAGCAGTAGAAGGCGCGAACCCAAGAGCCGCAAGTGTAGTCCTCAGTGTGTCGTGCCACTCACGTGGCGCCTGGCGGAGACCGTAGACCGGCCGCCGGAGGCTCCACTGGGTACCAGGAGGGAACGACCCAGTGAAGCCAGGAGGGCGGCGCAGCCAGATCTCCTCGTGCAGGCTGCCCTGCAAGAAAGCTGTGCTCAAGTCAAGAGAGTGAAGCTCGTAGTCACGCTGAGTGGCAACGTGCAGTAGCACCCGAAGAGTGGTCATCTTCGGGGTGGGGGAGAAGGTCTGGAAGAAGTCTACTCCCTCTCACTGACTGAAGCCTCGAGCAACGTAACGAGCCTTGAAGACAGGCGGAGAACCTGGCGGCCGCCAGGTTTAGGCCCAGCAGCCTCAGCTCCACCGGTAGCTCCAGCAGCTCCAGCACCAGCTCCAGCAGAGCCCCCAGTGCCAGCAGCTCCAGTACCGCCTGTACGAGCACCTCCAGGAACAGAGGCTCCAGTACCTCCAGCAGCACCAGGGCCTCCAGCGGGCGGCACCCCAGTGCTAGGAGCGCCGCTCCGGAGGCTGCACCATCGAGCGTACCACTCATGCAGCCGCTGTGGGGAGGGAGGCTCCGGCCGCGACACAGCACCCGCAGCACAACCAGCTCCAACTCCGGCAAAACCCCCAGCTCCAGCAGCCCCACGCTGGAGGCTGCAACGCTGAGAGTACCACTCACGCAGCTGCTGTGAAGAGGGAGCGCCACCAGGCGCAGCACGGTCAGTCTCAGCTCCCCCAGGCTCAGCACCGCCAGTCTCAGCACCCCCAGGCTCAGCACCCCCAGTCTCAGCACCCCCAGGCTCAGCACCCCCAGTCTCAGCACCCCCAGGCTCAGCACCCCCAGTCTCAGCACCCCCAGACGCAGTACCTCGCGCAGGACCAGAGTCGACAGCTACCTCGACAGGCTCGACCGGGTCTACCTGGGAAACACCTGAGGGAGCAGGACCCTGGGGAGGGAGGGGGTCTACCGAAGCAGCACCTGGCATGAGGAAGAGCGGCGGAGGGGGGAGCGGGGCAGTGCGGTAGGGGAACAGACGGTAAAAGGGTACCGACTCGTCAAAAAGTGACGTTCTGAGAGGGGAAGACACGGCGCGAGGTGGGGTGGTAAAACTGCCAACCAGGCGCATCAGGGACAAAGCCAAGGAAGACACAGGGAACGGCACGGGAGGAGAGCTTGTCCGCGGACGTATCGCAGACAAAGGCTTGACATCCCCAAACCCGGAACACCGACGGATCGCCAACCTTCCCCGTCCAACGCAGTGTGGGCGAGGTCTCCGGAGCAGAGACACGGGGCCAGAGGTTGAGCTGATGCGCAGCGTACT